TAGACCTCAACCAAAAGTGAGGTCAACAACATTATAGATAAACTAATTTACTGAATTACTTCAAGATAGGTATGGGTAGTTCATCAATGGGAAAGATTAAGGGGCAATTACATACATACCACCCAATTCTTATGCATTTACAAATCTTTGATGTCACAAGTTTCCCTATTTTAAATTTGGGAAATTTACATTCATAGCACACAATTTATATCTATTTACATCACACTTAAACTTTAATATTTACATATATAACTCTTTAGTGTTTTAAACCAATACATTGAAAGGTGGTAATAGTGATATTTTTTGTGTAATATTAAAAAATTGACTGATATATGTGTAAATATGAAGGGTTTGAATTTTTCCTACGAGTCATGTTAAATGTGGATTTCATAAATCAAGCAAAAGGATGGATTTAATAAATCTGAATTTATTAAATCTTAGTAAAGTAAAATCCTTCGTGCGGCCAACACCTCCTTAGAGATAGAGTAAATTATTCTATCAGGAGTCCTAATGTAGAGGAATGTTTAGACGCTAATAATAGCTTGATACGTGGCTTTCACGGACCCGCTGAAACCTCCGAAAATAAAAAAGAGAACGAGCGCTTGGCCTTGCCCAACCCGAATATTTACTCATAAAAGTTTCGCTTCCTTTTTTTTTTTTTGTCGCACCCAACTGAATAAGAATTGTTCTATTGGTTTAAGATTTACAGCTTCGATGGACTCCTCGCCGAACAACGATATGCTCGACGTCTTGCAACCATCATTTTCGCTGGACTTGGAAGATGAAGTGAGTTTAGCTAAAATTTGAAAGGTTTTAGTTTTGTTTAGCTCAAACTTGCTTCTTTGTTGTTTGCTTGGTCTGATAATGGTGTTATTTTTATAATGTATGTTATTTTTATTTATTTAGGGTTTAGTGAGATTGAAGCTAGGTTTAACTTTTGCCACTGGTGTTGTTTAATGGTAAAATTTTAGTGTTATTCGCATGCAGGCTTGCTAGGCTAGATTGTGTTATTGTGGTGTTACGCTAGGTTTTATTGTGTTAGTGTGATGTTATGTTGGGTTACTGTTGTATTTTTTTGGATTCATGTTTACTTTTTGTCAATGTGGTATAATAGTGGTTCTATTCAGATTTAAATGGTATTGGTAATATGGTGTATTTTTTGTCATTGTTGTTGTGTTATTAAACTATTTTGTTGTGTTATTCTTCCAATATTGCAGTGTTATTATTAGTCTTAGTGGTGATACTGATATGTTTTTCTTCTGTATTATGTTGGTTGTTGTTGTGGTGTTATTTCATAATTTTTTTATGATGTTGTATGGTATCGGTGAATTGTTATTATTATGAATGTTAGGTTATACTGTGTTATTCTAATGTTATTTTGTTGTTTAGTTTGGGTTACGCTGTGTTATTCTTTGCTTACAGTGGACTTAATTTGTGGAAATGTGCAGTCATGTGAGCAGAGAACTATTTGCAGTGATCCAATTGCAGAGAAGTTTTTTTTAGCACCATCATCCACAGTGAGGAAGAAGCTTATGAAATTTATTGTGCATATGCACATCATATAGGTTTCAGTGTTCGGAAGGACCACAGTAGTTATTGGCCAAATTCAAAGATTTCCTTTACAAAAAAGCTGGTCATAAGAAGGAGGCTAACCTCATGAATACAGTAAAGTATAGAAAGTTAGACACGATGACTGGCTGTCAAGTTATGGTTCGTTATGCAGTTGACCTTGAAGGCAATTGGACAATAAAGAAATTCATTGAAAGTCATAACCATCCCTTGGCTGAATGTGGTGATAAGCATCGTCTTCGTTCCAGTAGAAAGATAATTAACTTAAATGCAGATGTCCTGAGATCAATGACAGGAACAGGTATTAGAGTAACGAACGCAAATAAATTCATTGCTACGGAGGTTGGGGGAGTGGAGAATTTGGAATGCACGAAGAGATATGCGTTCAATTTCATTCAAAGAGAAAGAAGAGAAAAAATTGAACAAGGAGATGTCAATTCTCTAATATAATTTTTTTATGGGGAGGTAAGCCGACAATAGCATGTTTGTATGGGATTTCCAAACTGATGAGTGTGGTATATTAATAAGTTTTTTTTTGTGAGATGGGTTATCCAGACTGGATTATGACTGTTTTGGGGATGTAATCATTTTTTATACAAGCTACAAATTAAATAAGTATAACTTATGCTGCACTCCTTTTGTGGGAGTGAACCACCATTGGCAAAACGTTCTGTTTGAGGTTGGTTTTTTGTCCGAGGAAACTATTGATTCTTTCAGATGGTTATTCAAAGCTTTTACAATAATAATGGGAGACAAGCATCTATTAAGCATTTTCACTGAACAGGACCAAGCAATGGCAAGGGCTATTGAAGAATGTCTCCCACAAACACAACATAGATTATGTCAGTGATATATCTACAAAAAAATTACTTCAAAAGTGCATTATGGAGTTTCTCTCAAGAGCGTTACCGATCTTTTTTATAAATGCATGAGTAAATGTGATTCGGAGGAGTTCGAAGAAATTTGGTCCTTAATGATGTTAGTGGTTGACCTATACAATAACGTGTGGTTGCATGAGATGTACAAAATCAGACACAAATGATCCACTGCCTTCAATAAAAAAATATTTGGAATGAGAATCCTATCAACTCAAAGAAGTGAGTCAACCAATAATATATGTCATGGTGTTTCAAAGCTCACAAGCTCGCTGATAGTTTGTTTTATCGGTCTTGAATAAGCATGAAATCATGGCGCAGGAACGAGAAGGACAAAGATTTTAAATGTAGTCAATCTATCACTACGCCGATGGTTGGAGCCAACCCAGTTTTGAGACAAGCTTCCTTATTTTATACAAGGAAGCTTTACTCAATGTTCGAGCAAGAGCTGCTTAATGGGTTATGTGGACTCACACTTGAATTCTCCGCCGATAGCGGGTTCAAATATTATATACGCAAATTGGACATTGATGACACATCCAAGACATGGGTTGTGAATATTGACAATGTTAACTCCAATGTCACTTGTGGTTGCAGGATGTTTAAAAAGAAGTGGTTGTTGTGTTCGCACGCACTACATGTTCTTAGTGTGGTTAAAATAAATATCATTCCTGAATATCATTCCTGAAAATATTTGTTATTGGTTATTGAGATGGTCTAATCATGCAAAAAGAGACATCTATAATAGGTTTGAATACAAACATCTAAGGGAGTCCCAACTGATGGCTATTTCTTCAAGTGGCCTCCTATTTCGTTCACAATCTCAAAAATTTGTGTACCAACTAATCAATAAAGCACAATGAGATGAATTTACCGAGCTGATGTTATGGGAAACATTTAAAAAGCTATCTGTAGATATTGATGAAGCAAAAGTTGGAGAAACACCTATTGTTAGGAGAAAAGCAAAGAAGAAAAAGCAATCAAATATTGAATGTAATGTGGCTGACCCAACAAAGAGGAGGCCAAAAGGTGTTTCTACTTCTAGGCCGAAAGGATATTGGGAGAAAAATAAGAGATCAAAGAGTATATTTCTCTACATTAAATGAACTGCTTCGATCTAAGTTTTATTTCTCTTATCTACACATAAGCTCTTCTTGCAGGAAAAGACCTTGAAGAGTCAATAAGACGGGAACTTGTTATTCTATCTGATCCAATGATGCTTCACAGTCTAAGTCAGATATAAAAATGAAATTTAACATGTTTTTCATTAGAGTTTTTTAAATCTGTTTTTCTGAAAAGTGTTTTCTTTACAACATGACAGGATTTTTTTTCCTCGCAAATATCATCTCAAACATTCATCAAACTATTTATGGATTCCATAACTCAGCTCTGATGTATTACAAATCAAAAGTATTTGTGTTTCAACTTCGATAATTATCGTGTTGTTTATGTTACTGATGTAATACGTTGGTTATGGTGTTGTTAATGTTACAGAATTAATATTTCTGCAAATACATGTAAAAATCATTCATATTGCACATTAATAATACACATACACTACGATAACCGTCCAATAACATGTCGATAACACCTTAATAACACATCGATAACACCTTAGTAACACATCAACAACACCTTAATAACACAACAAATATCGAAAATAACATTATTATCAATACCTCGCCATGCATTAGGCCGGCCTAACGTACTCCGAATAATCTTTCCACGTTACTTTCATCCGCGACTACGTTACTTTTCTTTCTATATGTTTTATTCTGTCGTTCTGCCACGTTATGTAAGTCTTCTGCGTCCGTTAAAGCCAACGTAACGCATTGGGAATATTCTTCCTGCGTTATTTATTTTGCGATTGCAATATTCTTCATTACCGCTGCATTATTTTCACATTCTTCTGTGTTATTAATATAATCCACGCGATCAAATCTCGCATAACGTGATCCGAATATTCTGCATGCGTTATTTCCAATTTCCTCTACGTTATTTAATCATTCTACTGCATTATTTATCATTACCGGTATGTTATTTCCCATTCCAGCTGCATTATTTATCTTTTGAAGGAGTATAAGAAGCGCGTTACGTGCTTTGAATATTTCGTAAGCGTTATTTTGGCTTTCCCGTGTGTTATTTAGCCATTCAATTGTGTTATTATGCCTTCCTTAGTGCATTATTTAGTCATTCAATTGGTATATATCACGCATAACGTGATCCAAACATTTTGTCTGTGTTGTTCCGGCTTCTCACTGCGTTATTTAGGCATTGTATTGCGTTATTTATCATTATCGTTATGTTATTTCCCATTTCCATTGTGTTATTTAGGCATTGTACTGCATTATTTATCATTATCGCTGTTTTATTTCTCATTTCCACTGTGTTATTATGCCTTCCCACTACGTTATTCCGCCTTCCCACCGCTGTGTTATTTCCCATTCCGGCTGTATTATTTATCTTTTAAAGGAGTATAAGAAGTGTGTTACGTGCTTAGAATATTCCCTAAACGTTCTTTTGGATTCCCCGTGCATTATTTATCCATTCAATTGTGTTATTATGACTTCTCTAATGCATTATTTAGTCATTCAATTGGTATATATCACGTGTAACGTGATCCGAATATTTTGCTTTCCCACCGCGTTATTTAGGCATTATACTGCATTATTTATCATTACCGCTGTGTTATTTCCCATTTCCACTGCGTTATTATGCATTCCCACTACGTTATTTGTCATCCCACTGCGTTATTTCCCATTCCATATGTGTTATTTCCCATTTCCATTGTGTTATTTCCCATTTCAACTGCGTTATTATGCATATAAATAAAAATCATAGCTTATATGCATATAAATAAAAACCATAACTATTACTTTATATATTATTCGTCTTACTATATACAAAGCAGAGTTCAACAAACATGTCTTTAGCAAAATTAAAAAGCACAGTTCAAAATCAGATGCAATATCTTTCAGGCGAATATTTAAGATGTTTGGCGAGCCCACATGCAAATCGTATATGCAAACTGCGTTATAAATTGTACTATAAGATCTTGCCAGTTTGAGTGTTGTTTCCATTCGATTGTACCAACTTGTACTAAGGCTTCCCTATACTTACAAACAAACCTGCCACAGTCGTGGTTGTTACTTTGGGTTGGAACATTTCGAGGACATGACATTTGTCATTTCTTTATGTCGGTCTGAAATATTCCTTCAGTATCATTAGCAAAATGTTTGATCTGTAAATGTAATCAAGGAGTGAGCCATATATAAAACATTAGTATTGTTGTTTGCAATAAAGATATTGAATTCCATATGTACACCGTGTCGAATGGACTTACAAGTTCTACAACAACCGCTTTATGCATCGGGTTAGACAGTGAGTCATATATTTTCCATTTTCTTCCTCTCAGCTCCTCTACTAACAAAATCCAATGTTGACGATCAATTATAAAAAATAAAACGAGGTCATTATTTTTAATTGCTTCCTTTGTAATGCCTTCAGTAAATCCTTCCGTAAAAGATTTTACCGTCTTTAACATCTAACATCTTTAAAAAAAGAAAAAACAGTAAGCACAATTTAATTAGTCTACAATGGAAGAGAAGCTTTCACAACAATCGAATAAATTAAAAATTTAGAATTACCATATATAGTGGGGACACATATATGTATTTTTTGTACATTTCAGGTGACTATTTCCTTCTTTCAGCCAACATAGTGGCAAACATATCTACATGTTCATTCTCGAACCACCGATTCATTAATATATCCTCAAGTGCACCACGCTCTAGAACGGTTGTCTCCCTGCTTAGGATGATATCATATCTGCATCGTTAAAAGAGATTATTTGTTACAATCTAACGATGAAATAGAATATTTTTGCTACAATCTAACAAAGAATGTTTACTTACACCCAAGAGTAGCTGGCAATACATCTATCTATTACATCTCGCATTTCAATTGGAAGCATTGATCTAGCAGGATAATCAAGTGCAAGTGTTGGACCCGCAACACGAGGCTACAACAGAATTGAAGATATTTAATATATCAACTTATTTCTAATATTTGATTAAGTGTAACCATAAATAATTAATATTACCACTATAGCGTATGCATATGATTGGAGCTCTGGCTCGACACATCTATCACCTCTAGATTGGGATTTTCTTTATCATCAATATATATTACTGAATCTCTTGTCATTCCAGCAAAGCTATCTGCACTATGTAGATATTCTCCTCCCGCTGGCTCTCCAACTCAAGTATGTACATCTTCTCCTACTGCTGGCTCTACAACTGGACTATATACATATTCTCCTATTACTAGCTCTTCAATTGGACTATGTACATCTTCTCCTACAACTGGAGTGCTAGAAGGATCTAAATGGGACAACACGCTAAGAGCCTGCAAAACAAATTTAATTTTTCCCGAAACAAAAAAAAAATGACATATTAGAAGATAGATTTGTGAATACTGTTTACTATATGAGCTAGCGATTCTAGAACACCCTTCACTGATCGTTCAACCTCTTCCGGATCTTCCTCAAATGTCGCATTGCCCGTTATTCTTTCCAGAGACTCTCTTATTGTATCATCTCGATCTTTAGTTTGTACAGTTATATTGTCTTGATGTGGCTCAGCAAAAACATAAATTTTCTTTCTTCTCTTTAGTTGGTATGTGCACTTGGGTGAACCGACAGCCCTCCTCCTTCTCTGGGTGGATTTAACACTTCGAGCAGAGGATCTGTGTTTTCCCGTTGTCTGTGCATTAACTTCCTTATCTGCTTTGGTTCTTTGCAATCTTTCAACCATAGCAGTTAAGTTCTGTAATGACTCCCCAACATAATTCATTTGTTGACTCATTCTATTCATGGTTTCATGCAATATAAGAGTAGACTTTTCTTGACCTTTCAAAAGGTCGATTATTATTTTGAATTCTTGATTAGATATTTTATGCGTCTCTTCTGGGGTGGTCTCGTTGGAAAAAAAATCGGCCCCACGCTATGGGATAATGGTGAAGATGGTCCGACAGTTGTTTCTAGATGGACAACTCTGGCAGGGCTAGGTAGTCCCTCTTCTGGGTTGGACAGTAAGTGTTGCTCGTACTCTTGCAAATCGATGAAGGAATCATTAACCTGCAGCACCATCAAAAATGCTCATAATGAATTCCAAATCAATGACATGAATGACTAAGTTAAACATTCAAATTTTTCATGAAGTAAATGTTTCACCTTTGCACAACCAAGATTTCTGAACGCCTCACGAATCTCTATTGTTGTCCAACCATGATTTGTTGGCCACCTTAGCATGCAAGGCCTAACCTCCGGAACATGAGGAGTAAACACGGAGGTGTGCTCGTAAAATCATAGCTGCAGAAGTCTCATATCAGAAAAATGAATGTAAAAAAGAGAAATGTAAAAACAGATAAAACTGCATCGGAATGAAGATTTATTTTTGTAAACAACATAATACTTATAGTTAAAATAAAAACAAAACCCTGGATGTATCCCATCAACTGATTTCGTTGTAATTTGGCAGCGAAGATGCTAACTTGATCGAGGATGAAGTCACAAATCTATCTACAAAAAAGTTATTTTAAAAGTGCATTGTAGAGTTTCTCTCAAGAGTGTTACCGATCTTTTTTATAAATGCATGAGTAAATGTGATTCATAAAAGTTTGAAGAAAGTTGGTCCTTAATGATGTTAGTGGGTGACCTATACAATAACGCGTGGTTGCATGAGATGTACAAAATCAGACACAAATGATCCACTGCCTTCAATAAAGAAATATTTGGAATAAGATTTTACTTCTTTCCAAATGGTTAGGATAGAATTTTACTTCTTTTCCACCCATTCTGAAGACCCTCCTTTCATTATCCCAACATCTCAGAATGTGTAATGCCAACACATTGTCCTGTGGGTATGGAGGCATATCAAAGAAGTGAAAGACATGCATTTCTTTCAACGAATTCACTGTCTCTTTTGATACAAGATGTTTGATAGAATCCAAAGCACCCCTTACTCCTTATTGTAGATGGACGACACCTACAGTTGAATGTCCTTGCGTTCATCAACCTACAAATGAAAAAAAATAAAATAAGTTCCATAAAAGACATTTTGAAAGAAATACATCACATATAACACCATGAAAGCCTTGAGTTACACCCAAAATCAAAGCAATACAGCTCATATACAATTATATTACACAACAGCTAAAATAACACCAATTATATAACACCTAAAGCAAAGTCAAACAACAATTATACATATAACACACGCTAACACAAAAATAACACCATCAATATTCAACTGTGTTATTCAGTTATTAATGAGTTTCTATGCATATAACACCAAGACAACGTTCAATAACACCAAATATAAAAGCAATACAACACATATGAATTCCTGACACATCAGCAAAGGATAATCGGTGTCATGCATTCAATAATATCCATTTACACAATCATAACACACTCTAAACAACCACTATGTGGTTCACTGCCATTTCACACATCAATAACGCCAAAAGCAAAGCCCTAGACCACATATACAACTTTAATACACCAGATAAATAAAACATGCGTATTATTAATCAGAATAACACACAATAACACAACAATAACACAACAACAACATATCATTAAAACAGAGAAAACACAGTATTCATGTGGCTATAACACGGAGATATCACATCTATAACACATCAATCACAAATGTTTTATATATATACTAATCAATTATAAATACTACTAATCAATTATATATATATATGATGAGTAATATTTTTAAAAAATTGAATTGACTACAAGGCTACCAAAATTTATAATCAATTAAAAGAAGTTAATGAAGAAAATAGAATAAAAATTATTAAATTAGATTCAAATGATGATTTAAATATTTCCCCAATATTTAACATCTTATAGCTACATGATTAGGGCTTTCAAAACGACTCTTTGTTCGTGAACGGCTCGTGTTCGGCTCGCTAAGCAAACGAGTCGAATACAAACACACTTTTTGAGCTCGAAATATAAACGAGCCAACACGATGAGCCTGGGCTCAGGTCGTGTTCGGCTCGTTTACACCCCCATCCATTAGGTATTGATCGCTAACATCCTCAACTCACCTTATTCCTTCTCTAACTAAATATTGGGATGCGGCGAAAACTACAAATTAGAAACATTATATGCGACACTTCACATAAAACCTATGCATTAATGGGCCGATGAAAATTCGATGAAGATCTCACCATTAACAAAAAATTAATGAAAAATGTGAAGATAATTTGTTATAAATATTAAAATGATTTTTTTTACAAAAAATGAAAAATAAAATATTAACTATGCTTTAACTATTTTTTTTAAATTTAAAAACTATATCAAAAATATTATTATGAGCCATAAATTCTAAGAAAATTCAGATTATAAAAATAATTACTATTATTTTAAATTCAATTAATGGATTTAATTATTATTATTTTGAATGTTCCTATTAAAACAATATATTTAATTATTCAAATTTTGAATGAAATAACTAACTTTAAAATTATTATTTCCAAATTTTAAATAATCAAATTATCATTTTACAATTGCATTCAAGTAATTAATAATAATTTCATTAATTAAAATTATATTTTTAGTTAACTCCCTAGTTTTACATTTAAATTAAAAAAATGTGAAATTAATTTATGCCCCAATTAAAAAAATAAAATTCAAGACTACACCCACCCTTACCTTAGCCATCATCCTTATAAATTATAAGCTTTAACAAGAAGATCCAAAAAGTAGAATGTAGAATTAAATTGCGTGGTAAATATGTAAATTCCCCAAAAATACAGTGATAAAGATGAAAAAAAAAACTTAGTTAAAAAATAATAGCACATTATAATAAAATCATCTTCAGGAAGTTGTGCTTAGGAAGCAGAAGCAGAAGCAGCCTCAGCAGGTGAAGGTAGAAGTGTAATTTCAACATTGTCATGTACACCCTGAAGCAACATTTCACCATCAAATTTAATAATCTTCCTCTTCTTAGCTGCTCTTAGGGTTCCAACCAATGCTTCAAATATGTTGGCACAACGGTCATCATGGAAAAGGACACCAAATTTGACCTACAAAACATATAAAACTTCATGATTCATGTCATCACTACATTGGTCATCATGGAAAAGGACACCAAATTTGACCTACAGAACCCTAAGGGTGGGTGTACATATTAATTTTAATTAATGAAATTAATATTAATATGTGCCACGACCAACCCAAAAGGTATATATATATATATATCTGTGTGCGTATATATACATGTATGTATTTATCAATATAATGTATAAGCGTCTAGCATTACATCTCATCCCTTGATTTCAGAGCAATATATTGATTTCAGCACTTTGCTTATTACAGCTGCTGATTTCATAAGCATTCACTTTTCTCCCTTGTATGTAGAAAAAAATTAGCACTCAGGGGTGAAAGTGAGCAGAGTCGACTCACGAGCCTGCTCGAGCTCGACCAGTTAATAAGCTCACGTGTTTAGTTTATTAAGCCACGGGCTCGAGCTCGAGCTCAAACCAAAGCTTGAGCTTGTTGGCTTGCAATCGATGCCTTCTTTAGTTAGCCATGGCGGCACTTGTCCCTCTCCCCTCCATTAATCACTTAGATTGCTTCTCAGGTGACCTCTCATATCAATTTTATTCAAGCTCACGAGTCTATTGTAATTTCTGCGAGCCAGCTCGAGCTCGTCATTTGAGCTCAACTTGAGTTGAGCTTGTATTTTCGCAAAAGAGCCGAACTTGAGGTAGGCATTACTCGGACTTGGCACGACTCACTTGCACCCCTAACTATAGCTGTTTATTTGGGGTTAAGGAAAATGAATATACTTTGTTTACAATTTCCTCTACTTTCTGTTCCTTAATAAGTTAATATAGCAAAAGAGTTTCAAGCCAAACAACACTGATTTCTTTCTTCTACCGTTATTTCATTGGGCATTCGTTTCTGCAACTAAACAAGAAAATGAATATAATTCTTTGCCCCTAATAGTAAATATTCTAATTCCCTCAAAACAAACTTTTGATATGAGAAACCATGTGGATACTCATAAATTAGAACTAGGGTTGTGAATTTAGCTCGAAGATCGTTGATCACTCGAAAATTGATTGGAATTTTGAATTGGATCGAAACAAACGAGCTAAGATACAAGCCAAAAATTTGGATCAAATTTTCTTCGAACCGACTTTGAGCCAACCCCAGCTCAGCTCGAAATCAGATTGTTAACCACTCTAGTGACGTTAAGACTATGAATTTAGTGAATTTAGCTTCAAGATCGTTAATCAATAAAAATTGAGTTGAATTTTGGCTCGAATCGAGATCGGATCAAAATAAATGAGTCAATCAATATTTTTTTGGCCGATTTTGAGCTGACCCTAACTCGGCTTGAAATCGGACCTTCAATGGCCCTAATTAGAACT